TGTTTTAATAGCAGAACTATTGCACTGGAAGAAGACTAATATACAAAGCAGAGAGAAGACTGCTCTAGCTGAAATTCCCAACCACATCTCACACTTAACTCAGGTGGCACTGGATCAGATTATCTCTAAAGTGGTTCGTATTTGATTAGCAAAACTATAATTCCTCAAGATGTATTACTCTAGATGGTCCAGATGAATGGTCTCCCAAATGGAATAATTGGGAGGATCTGTTGGGGATGTGGAGAAAAATCAGGTATAAATATCAAAATGAGAAATTATACTTTATGGACTGAGAGTGGTATGTATACTTTTCAGGAGTTTCTCGTGTCAATCAGAGCCATAGTCAGATATAATACCCCCAGGCACTGAGGTATTCTAAAAACAATTTAAAAGAGTGAAAGTTTTTGAGGGAAAAAAACCCCCCACCACTAACAACATCCATACCCACTAATTTAACACAACTGTTTTAATTTCTGTATATTTGTATCTAGTTCCTATCCACACGCAAATACATATTTTGGCACAGTTACCAACATGGTACATAAGATTTTTAAGTTTTCTCCACATAAATTAAGATGAATATTTCCACAAATGTAAGTTTCATAATAATTGTCTTTCATGGTTACATACAAATGGAGATTTCATAATGTACTGAAACATTTTCCTACTGTTGAGCATTCAGATCATATTGGCTCTCTTTTTTTGTTATTATATAATTATTCCTATTCATATCTCTGTACATGGTAGCTTTTTTTCTTCTATTAGATGTACCCTGAAGTTAAGATCCCTAAAGTGGGATTAGTGAATAAAAAAGTATGAACTCTGCTGTGATAGCTCTTGTACATAGTAATGCTTTCCAACAGGTCTTTATCCATTCATCTGCGGTCACTACTGGAACCTTGAATACAACACATGGAAAAAGTAGTTGAAACACCTGCAAAAACAGTTTCCTCAGTATTAATCTCATTAAACTGATAGAAGCTATCTTTACTATTTTCAAGAAAGGTGAGAAAAATAGCTATTACTGTGATATTCTATTGTACTGATGAAGGTTCTTTTGGAGAGGCTACAGAATAACAACTATATATTCCCAGAGTAATCTCACCTTTAGGCCATGGAATAATAACCTTTAGGCCACAATCTGTGTAAGAAAAGGTTTACTTTCTTTGCTTTTCCAGAAGTAGCAATATAGAGACTAAATTGAGATTTCTGCCTACAATGTATTTAAAATTTAATAAGATCTAACATCTGAATACCATTTAATAACTTTGGCTACCAAAAGAAACTGACTAAAATCTAAAGCTTATTTCATGATAATATAGTCAGTATGATCACGGTTGATGGCATCTTCATCATTCTACTTTGTTCTTCTTCTGCTTTTATCCTACCTACTTTAGGATTTAGCTTTGCTCCCAGATCGACATAAATGTCACAGAACTCCAATCTTATTTAAGCCAGCTATAAACAACATAAAAGCTTCTGAGGCAGTCATCTAGGAACCTCTGTATTCTGATGATCTTGCTCAAGATACAAACATGTTTGACAGAAGCTGAACTTCAGTGGTGAGGAACATCAGCAGAAATGGTATTTTAACAGATCAGAAGATAATTTCAGGGCTATGCTTCTCTTCCGAAGTTGTATCTTAGTGATCTAAATCCAATGTTAGATGACTAGGAGGCACATTCTCAGGCTAGTCAAAGTAGATATTCTGCTTCTTGTTGATATGGTTTTGTCCTAAACTAAAAGTGGCTCTATTTTCATGTATATTCTCCATTAAACTGACTTAAACTAAGTAAGCCAATTGTTTAGTTAGAGGTACATACTGCAATTAATTCACCCAAAGACATATTGGGTTCTATTATTGTGGTGCTGCACCTAGGGTGGGTGATTAGAAACTCTAATTTTGATAATTTTAAATCAGAAAAATTTCCAGGTTCAGATCTTCAAGGTCTGAAGCTTTGTAGCTTAACAGTTTACTTCTTCATACCTTAGAACAGACCCGGAAATTCTTTGTGAGGAAAGTTTCAGCCATGTCAGCAGGCATTCATTCCCTCATTGCTTGGGTGGAGAGATGGGGTGTCTATTTATTCAGGTGAGGAGAGTCACAGGTTCTTTCGTAAGAATGATCCTTCTTCGTAAGAGGATGGATGTCAACCTGTCTTTCACATGGCTGGTTTTTAACATTTCTGGATCTATCCTTACTTGGCAATAACAATAATAAAAATAGTGTAGCAGTTTCCCTTCACTGAAAGTCTACCATGTGACCAGGCAAGCAAGTTAAGTGCAAGTTAAGCACTTTGTACATTTTATATCTTACTTCTCACAACTATATGTAATGGGTATTTACTATTCCTGTTTTATGGATAAAGACACTGAAGCTAAGAGAGACAACAAAGAGCATGTATATTTTAAGGTGTTACTAAAGAATATAACTTATACTACCAAATTCTTATTTAAAATATGTGTACACGCACATACATATATATTTACATAAATACAGGTGGCCGTTAAGGTCGTACATTCAATCCCTTCATCTAGATGAACATTTCCTGAGGTATGTTTGGTGACATTTACTTTGGCTCGCATTACTTTGGCCCCAAAGGAAACTGTTTTCCTTTAACTACACTGTGATGGTATGCCTTTGGCTTACACTGAAGGGCATAAAGGGCACTTAAAAAAGTATCCAAATGGAACTCACCATTACATTTATTATTGAAACTTTATTGCTGAGAATTTCATTTACTCTTATCTCTTATAGTACCAAATCTGTGGCCCTAAAGGAGAAATACTTCTCAAACAGCAGAGTCAGAAACACTTTGTTTCTCCTAAGCCACCAGTGTGCTTTTAATCTAATGAACAATGGAAATTTTTTTTTTTTTTTTTTGCGGTACGCGGGCCTCTCACTGTTGTGGCCTCTCCCGTTGCGGAGCACAGGCTCCGGACGCGCAGGCTCAGCGGCCATGGCTCACGGGCCCAGCCGCTCCGCGGCATGTGGGATCTTCCCGGACTGGGGCACGAACCTGTGTCCCCTTCATCGGCAGGCGGACTCTTAACCACTGCGCCACCAGGGAAGCCCCAATGGAAATTTTTAACAGATATCATTTCTTTATTTACTTTAGCCACTAGGAGGCTCAGAGAAATATGTGAAATCCTTTCTGATAACTATTAAGATACTCAAGGCATACATTCCTTTAATTTTAGCTCTGCCCTTAGCCTACTATTCCTCTATTAAATTCCTCATACCCTGATCTATTTCAACTTTAAAGTAAATTCTCAGGATCAAAGTCCAATGTCAGTTTCCATATTTATGTTGAAATTCGATTTCAACAGCTATAAAAATGTATATACCACAATAAAATATTTTTTGAGGACTGCTGTAACCTGTATCAAAGCAACATCAAAATCAGGTTACATACTAGGATCCTACCAGGCAGACAATTTGCCCAAAACCTTACTTGCAATCATTAACTAGTTTAGTATTTCACATTAAGAAAATCATTTAAAAATACCCAAAACTTACCAATCACAATTCTCATTGTTATTCACAGTCTAAAAACAATTCCTAGAAACTAGATCAACAAGTAAATGTACTAGTTTGGGGTTAGGGCCTATTTAATGTTTTGAACAATCTGTGTAATCTAACGTTGGCCAGTGAATTATTAAGTTTATTAATAGCTCATCTAAGTAATTCTGTCTTCCTTCTAAATAGAGGTCATAGTTAAAAACAAAACCAAAAACAACCTCTATATTTTTACATTTAAAAAATTCAAAGCACATTTCAGTACATAATTGATTTGTACCATATTACTCTAAGAGAGCACTGCCACTCATTTTACAGATTGAGAAAACTAATAAGACATTACTAAAACTAATAAAGTTCAAATGACTTTCTCAAGGTTAACATGTGCTGATGAAACTAGAACTAGAAAAGAGACCTTTCTTTCCAAACTTTTTCTGGAATGAAGACAGGCCACAGATTAGAATGAAATGTTTTAAATCCTTATTAGCAACGTTCTAAAAGAATAAGATCGGACAGGAACAAACAACTCTGTGTCAGACAACATGAAAGAGATTTTGACCTCACTGTTGAATGCTAAGAACTAGTAATGCAAGAGTTTATCTCTTGGAGCATAAACGCCCTTTGGCAAAAATGGGTCTGATCCAACTCAATTCAATGAAACAGATGATTAAATAAAAATGGAGTCAGCTCCTGACATCTGCGTTTTTGATGGTGGTGGTGGTGGTGGGGTGTTGAGGGGAAGACACCAAATTCTTTGTGAGCCCAACTGTACTACCTACTATATTTCTAACTTCATTTTAGCTGTTCTTCCGAGGACCTTCAATTCACTCAAGGGTTGGGTATTTTCAGATTATCTGTAATGACAGTAATTCTCACTAAATCAGGTCCCAACATTAGCTAGCTATGGGACCAGCAGTGTACCTGAGCTCTAAGCTGGGAGACCATGTGGGCATTCTTTTCTTTTTGGATAGACAAGATTTAGTCATATTCTGATCTAAGTCTTAGCTAAATGTATTGGCATTGCAGTTTTAGCCCTTTCAAATGATTAAATTACACCAATCTATATTCATACTTCTTGAAAATTTGCCTCTCTAGTATATTAATATAATTTATATTCAGGGTGATGGAATTAAAGTGAATTATCTTCAATAATATTACATTTGTACAGACTGCTTTCTGCTATAAGCATCTCACTTGACATATCAATCAAGAAATTATACAGAAAGCATGAGTTTTAAAATAACAATTATGGTGACCTCACTTACCATTATTATAAGATATTTACACCTCATATATAAAGTATTTATGGGGTCCTTTTATGCTTTTTGGAAATTAAAGCAACATTTTATTCACATTTAATCATTTGGCTATGCTATGTTTTTGATACTTGGAAGGTACTAAATGTTCACATTCACCAAATGAGATAAAATGAAGACAAAAACAAAATACGTTTTTATAGAAGAGACTTATGTATTCTCACCTGAGGCTGCTGTGGTATTTGAAGGGGTTGAAGCAGCTGCTTGAATCCGAGCATGAGGAGGAATAAGGATGGTAGCTAGAGGTGGATTACTTGACAGTTCTAGAGAAAAGGTAAGACGCATGTGTTAGAATCCACTCTTAAATTTTATGTTAAACTATTTTATTGGTAACACTAACAGAAGATACAGCATTAAAACATTGGTTTAACAGAAAAAAAAGACACGATAAACCTACATCTGAAACTAAATCATGAGCTAGTAATTAACATATAGAGAAAGTCCACAGAAATGGTGTGATACATAACAAAGGCACTATCTGCTAAAATTAGGGTATCTCTGAGAACTAAAGATAGGTCGGGGAAAGGTACTGGTCAAAAGTTTGAGGGTAAGCATATTAATAAGATATATTTCCATCTTTTATTAACTTAAATATACTAGGTTTTCCCTTGGTGCTCTGACAGTATTTGACTGCAGGGATTGAGGGTGACAGTGTCACAGAAAAGAGAATATAATTGCAGTTTGTACTTCGGCATGCACAGACCAAGTTACTCGATAGCAGGTAAGATTTATCCAAACAGTAGTGGAAATGGGATTTAAGGAACATCTGTTTAAATCCTCATTGCTTTTATTAAAAATGTCTTTACTGAATTCTACTTTGCTTTTTAACTTAGTAAGATTATTACTTTTTAAGAGTTTGAAATACGCTTTTATCTGCACGTGGAAAGTTTCTGTCAACTGTATACAAACTGGCTTTCTTTAAAGAATTAAGTTCTGTATATGAATCTTGAGAAAAAGATGATATTGGACTTAATAATGTAAACAACTACTGAGACATGGTGGTGAGCTTGTACATAAAAGTATCTGGTGTTAACTTCCGATAATACGACTTCTTCTAGACTGCCTGGGATAGCCCTGGTTTATTCTTGTAGTTCTGGCATTTAACTAGTGAGTGCTTATTTCCACTCTAGTAAGTGTCGCTATTAATAATTCTTATTCCAATAATTTGAAGGAATTATTATACGACCATACTAGCTAAAGGAAGATGTTATCCTCTTAGCTACAAGCAATTCACAGTTACGGCACGGACTAAAAAAAGTTAGGAAATAGTATTTTCTTTAAATTAAAGTAAAATTCACATAATATAAAATTAATCATTTTAAAGTGTATAATTCGTGGAATTTAGTACATTCACAATGTTGTACAACCATCACCTCTACCTAGTTTCAAAATATTTTCATCACCCCAAAGGGAAACCTTTAAGCAACTACTCGCCATTCAACCCTCCCGCCAGCCCCTAGTAAGGGAAATATCGTTGTAACGCAGTACTTTACAAAGCCCCTGGCAATACTGATTTATTCAACTTGGTGCCTTAGTAGCTAAATTTTGTACTAAATCAGATACTAAATGATAACCAGATTCTGGTAAAAAGAAGCAATATGCTGATGTCAAGATATATGAAAAATGAATGGGAGGAAAAGCTCAAAACTGAGAGAAGACTATTCATTATCTTTTCCCCTTAAATAAGAAGACTTATTAGGTCAGCTCATCAAATAATAACCTTCCCTGAGTTGGAAAAATCACTGCCCTAATGATCAGGTTTGAAGAGATGCTGTTTTCTCATAATCAGCTTTAGTAGCTGTTTCAGTTCTCACTGAGGTACAGAAAGAGCCAATGTAGTTTTACTTCAAATCAGTCCAATTTTTTTTTTTTTTTTTTAAAGGAACTGGGGGGTGTGCCATGTGATAATCATTTGGGGATCAGATGGTAGTCTGGGGGGAATTGGTGTAGCACTTTTTAGAGACAACACGGGAGAACAAGGGCAACAGCAAATTTTTCTTTTTTTTTTTGCTGTACGCGGGCCTCTCACTGTTGTGGCCTCTCCCGTTGCAGAGCACAGGCTCCGGACGCGCAGGCTCAGCGGCCATGGCTCACGGGCCCAGCCGCTCCGCGGCATGTGGGATCTTCCCGGACCGGGGCACGAACCCGTATCCCCTGCATTGGCAGGCGGACTCTTAACCACTGCGCCACCAGGGAAGCCCCAAATCAGTCCAATTTTAACGCACAACCTTACACCTAGAAAAACAAGAGAATCACTGATAATTGCCATGGCTGATGAGTTTATGGTTCTAAGAATAAAAATTAATGTAAGATGTGGTAGTTACTCTTTAGTAATCCAAAAGAAAGTCAGACTTACCATCCCAATTAAGATTAAAATCTCCTAAAATAGAAAAGCTTCTTTAAAATCCACCCATCCATCTACCCACCCACACCCTCATCCAACTAATAATACTGAGCATGAAAGATTGTGTTAGGTCCCAGGATAGACAGATAAAAAGATGGTTGTCTTTGTCTGTTCAACAGAAATAGAAAATGGAAGCACAATTACACAAATAAGCTGGCAAGAAAGGCATTCAATCGATTCGAGACTGGGACACTTTTAAATTAAAAGATCTCTATGACCATGAGCCCAACATCTAAAAGAAAACTCAAAAAAGGAAAAGATGACCAAAGATTTTAATAGAAGACATTTTGACAGAGCTACAACTGAGATAATCTTTAAAATAAACTGAGTATCAGTGGTCTGTGGTCACATGCTGTCCATTTTCTCCCATTCACTCAGTCTCTTTTACCAGATCACCTATCCTTGTGTATCTGCATGTCCAATTGAGGGCCATGGCGGTTTTGTGTCTTATTCTGGTTAAGGTGTATGTATGTGCGTGCGCGCGCACGCACACACACACACACACACACACACACACAATTGCAGGGTTTGAGAAAAACAATTCTCTTTTTCACTAGGCGGTAGAGGGGTAACTAATGAAAGTGAAAGGGAACAGCAAAGAAAGACGACGATAATAAAAAAAAAGGAAGCTATGGGATACTGGAGGCTTTGCCACATCTAAAGACACAGGGGAGACGTAAGTAAGGTTCATGAAACAACTTAAAAGACTAAGTTCTTAACCTAGAGTGAACAGTGGCTAGCCTCTGGGGGCGGGGAGAACTTTTGTGAAAGTTTTGGGTCACACACCCAAAAACTTAAGAAATTCTAAACTGGACAGCCACATATAGCTCTATTATCTCTCCAACTTCTATACACCATTGTCCTTTTCCTCTTCCTTAATTATATGTATTCCTTCAGGTCCATTGCTTTCCATCCATTAGCTCTTCTCCACTTCAGAGAGCTTGCTAACTGTCACAGCTTTTGCTTGTGTGAATGAGGAAGCCTCCATGTATGACAGCACTGTTTTCTACACTACAAGTCTGTCCCTTTTGTGGGGAGAGACTATGGGCACTTCTGTGGGCTGTCACATGCAACAATTACAACCTACTCCCAATCTCCCTGTCTATCCATGGCCCTGAATAGTAAGGAAATGGAGGCAATGAATATGGATACAAAATGCACTGAAAGAAAGCAAAAAAAAAGGATGGCATTTTGGAGGACAGAAAGAGCAAAGCAAGAGACATTTTTAGAATCAGGGAAAGTATATGTATTCTTTTTTTCTTTAAATTTTATGGACTCATTGATTGGCTGTGTTAGGTCTTCATTGCTGCACGCGGGCTTTCTTTAGTTGCAGTGAGCGGGGCAACTCTTCGTTGCAGTGCGTGGGCTTCTATTGCGGTGGCTTCTCTTGTTGCGGAGCATGGGCTCTAGGCGCTTGGGCTTCAGCAGTTGTCACATACGGGCTCTAGAGCGCAGGCTCAGTAGTTGTGGCACACGGGCTTGGCTGCTCCGTAGCATGTGGGATCTTCCTGGACCAGGGCTCGAACCTGTGTCCCCTCCACTGGCAGGTGGATTCTTAACCACTGTGCCACCAGGGAAGTCCCAGTATATGCATTCTTAAAGGCAGAGAATATGGAGTGTAGAAGAGATTGAAAATGAAAAGTTAATATTTATTCACTAAATATATGTGTGAGGCTTGAGAGCAGGGAGATTATTAAGGAAACAAGGAAGCCCATAATATAAAAGTGGGTCTAGCTATGGAAAAGAGGTGGGAAGAATAAGAGACCGCATTACTCCAGAGACATGGTTCAAACAAAATGGCAACAGGTTCCAGAATGTTTTAGAAAACTTCATGCATGACAAGGATTTCTTCAACCAATTGAAGATGCCATAAAACTACTCATTAAAAAAAAATCACATAGTAGTTTATGAGGAAACATTATGAATGTTTTGATGGTGTATCAATCATTATGTGGTCCACCATCAAAACATAACGCACAATTCGAACAAGAGCAAATGAATTTAAAAATAGCTATCAATAAGCCAACCAAGAGAGGTATCAACCAACCAAAAGGTTAACCAAACTCATTTAAATAAATTTTGCTGCACTGTTGACACTAAAAACTATAGAAGAAAAATTCCCATGAAAAGACCACTGTAAGTTAAGCAATCTTTTTAAATGTTAAAAACAAGAACAGAACCTAAATCTAGTTGTTTTGGAGAAACCTGAAGTTTCCCTTAAAGTTTCTCTTCTTCCAAATATAAGATTTCCAAATGTATTGATAAGAAAGGGCGGGTTTTTGTTTTTTTTTTTAAATTTGCAGGGGTGGGAAGAGGTATATATGTTTGTTCAAACTGTGTTGTGTGAAAGCTGAGGATAAGTTTGAGAATAGTAATCAATGTACAAACCAGAAGGAAGAAATCAACCTTTTATTAACTAGACCTCTTATAGTCATAAGTTAGAAGGAAATCTTCTTTCTTTGTTATCTTTGAAAGGGCTCAACATGCAGACCCCCAGAAAGGGGTCACTATAAGAGGCAAACTTTCTTTATCTTCTATAAGTAGTTTGAGGTTTTCATGTGTGTATCAGGTCTCTTAAGAATAAATGAAAATTGCCAGTGGTTGTCTATATAGTTAAAACTGCTATTTTTTTTCCCTATTCACAGAAAATGACTTAACAATGGCATGGTACTTTTTTTTTGAGGTAATTCAAATGTTAGGATGGCGAACCTTGATCTTACACACTGAATTCTAATGTTGCTTGTTTGGATATATTTTTTTTAGATGAACAAGTAACCCCATTACAACTGTTTCTCTCGTAACAATTTCAAAGTGCCCAGGAAATCTCTGACCAAGTTCCTAACGTTGACTACATACTCC